CAAAAAACTTACAACAGTTTATCCTGTCAGTGATCTATGGGAGCCTTCTACAAGCCCAACATTCTGTGGGATAAATGTGTTCTTCAGTAGTTGTCAGTTATTCTCAAATTGTTCAAATGTTGGATTTTGACTGATGTGTACATTTAGATATAGATAAGGTTATGAGAGGACATTTGTTAGAAGGTTACTACTGGTTATATTGAGAGATAAGACTGCAGGAAGGCTGGTGATACTGTTGTTCTTATAACAGTATGCTTCTGTTACCTTTATGATTTCAAACATCCAACAAAGAATAGTTTTTATTCTTTGGTAGCACTGGAGTTTTAACTCAGGGCTTCACACTTGCTAGGCAGGTGCTCTACCATTTGAGCCACTCCACTGGGCCTATTTTGTGTTGAGTATTTTTGAGATAGGGTCTTGAGAACTATTTGCCCAGATTTGCTTTGAACCATGATCCTCCTGATCTCTGCCTCCTGAGTAGCTAGGATTACAGGCATGAGCCACCAGGCCTGGCAAGAATAGTTTTTAAAATTAAAAAAAAAAAAAACTGCCCAAATTGCCACATTTGCCTTTTATGTGAATTAGATATGCTTACCTATATGTGTATATATAGTTACCTATTATTCATTTGTATGAATTATATAGATTTATATTTAAAGAAGTCAGGAATGTGAAGGGTTAAGTCATGAGTTGAATCCCAGGCCTATACTTTAGTAGCTGTGGGGTGACATATCTGTGAGTCTCCGTGTGTCTGTCTGCAGTGGCTAACAGCATAGCTAATTCACAGGAGTGCGTGAGGTGTATGAGAATGTCTATCACACTGCCCAGACCAACTGGCACTCAGTTTCAGATACACTCAGGAAGCATGCTGTTTTCGCTTTTACAGAGCTCAAAATACATGATGGAAAAAGGGACTTAATTTATTCTAAGTATGCCCCAAAATATGAAGTAAAGATGAATAGACAGAAGTGGTAGAGAGAACTTTCATTTAGACAAAAGGAAGAATTCTCAACCACATATGCAACAAAGCACCACAGGCTGCCTTAGGATGTAGCGATGCCTCTGCTACTGCAGGTGCCCAGGTTCCGGGAGAGCTGCCACAGGATCCGGGCTTGGTAAGAAGTCTGTGCATGGCACCCACAATGGGCGTTCAAGTCTCATATGCAAAGAGCCAATTAAAGGAGTGATTTACTGGCAGAAGCCCATGTGGTCACCCTGAACTGTAGTTCAACCACCTTTCTGGTTCTGTTTTATTTTTATTTTACTTTGCCTCATTTTACTGTGGTAGGAACATTTAACATGAGATTTGCTCCCTTCTCACAGAGTATTGTTCACTCCAGTCACAGTGGGGATACTAGCAACATCCAAACTTATTCATCTTTCCTGAAGACCTCAGCCATAACTGAACCTTTATAACTCATTTTTAAGTGAAATTTCATCTAATTTATAGTAGTAGTTTTTCTTGTCTTTATGGCACCAAGAGTAGATTGGAGTCCTGTATCAGGGCTCCCGGGCAGACCAGGCCAGCTGCAATTGGCCCAGGTTGTTGTTACAGGGAAAGCTTCTACCAGAACATAGCCAGAGTTAGCTGGGAGTAATGAGCTCCTAGTGACAGAGGACAAGTTGAGACAGGTGGTCAGAAGAAGGGAACTGAGCATTAGATGGGTTTGTCAAGGAGGTCTCTGCCTGGCTTCTGGCAGGGTGTCTTCAGGACCACAGCAGGCAGGCGGGATGACCCTCGACCATCCCCTGGGTGTCTGCGAGGACTGCCCTTTGTTTGTGTAGATGCCCTTTGTTTGTTTGAAAGATGTTACCACAACTTTCAGCCCTCAGGAAAGCTCAGTCCTGATGCCTCCTGAGAACCACTGATGTGCCCTTGCTCTCTGACCCAGAAAGCCTCCTCCTAGGGAATCACTGGAGGCACACCACTGCCCAGTGAGGGAAGTCATAACCATATTTGTAAAGATGCTCACAGCAACAGGAAGAAGAGAACAGTTAGCATTTTGTGACTCATCCACTTGCAGGAATGCTGGGAAGCAATCCAAAGTCTTGTTTATTAATACCAAAAAGCAAGTGATCGATCTTGCTAAGTAACAGAGCTAAGGGTTGAGCATGTCATACCATTCATTAATTCATTCAGTTATTCATGTGATCATTTATTTACTCACTCATTGATTCCACAAACCCACTTGCCTCAGGCAAGTGCAAAGGAGAGGATGTCAGCCTGGCCACCTGGTCTTGGGCCATAATTCTGCCTTCCAACACACATATACTTACAGACACTCATGTGTGCACACACATGAGTATACACAGACACACACATGTACACACAGGCACACACAATGCCAAGTCTTGGGGAGGAAGACCAAAGGGTCAGCCCAGCTTTGTCTCCCCATGCAAGCCATACAGGTCCCCCGACACATACACACCCAGGTCTCTGATTCCTCATTTATAAGATGGAAGAACTGCATTTTTCCAATCTCACCAGATTCCACAGCTCTTTTTGCCAGGCGACTTGACATGTCTTCAATTCTTGAATAGGGGATTGGCAAAAAATTCCTCAGGGACCTTTCCCACCCTGAAAACTCCCGACAAGCCTTTCTTATGCTGTGGTTCTTCTTGGGAGCCCTGTATCCAAATGCCGTCCTGTTTTGAAGGGAAGTTTCCCCAAATGAGCAGATAGACCTTTATTGACCAGAAAATGGCCGTTTAATCCATTTCCCTTAGCTATGTCATTCCAAGTCTCTCTGATCCTTGCTTATAAACTGAGCTCATTCATAGTCCTGGCCCACAGTAACCACACAGCCTGTGCTAGCTTCTATCAGAAACAGCACCATCAGCATTGGAGGGAGATGCAGGCAGGAAGGGACTGTTGGGGCTGTAAAGAAAACTTACAAATGGCAGGATGTCAAGTTAGAAAGAGACCTTAAAAGCTCACCTGGTCCAAACACTCAGGTTCAGACTAGCCTGCCAACAGCCCTGTGAAATGAACACCCAGTCTCTGATTGAGGTTGACTCAGTACTTGGTAGGGTTGACTCAACACCAAACGAGTCAACTCCTCCCATCTCTGGACAGTTTTTCCATCTGCCCTGGAATCCTGTGCCCCATAAGCATCTCCTCCAAGTCCTCCTAATTCAACCCATTGAAGACCAAAAGGAAAAATCTTCTTCAGTGCAGACCGCAGGTCACTGAGGCTATCTGTCTTCTCCTCTCCACCCAATTATCTTCCTTGGGTAGTATTTGTCTTTCCACACAGGTCACAGCTTCTGATCCCAAGACAGTCTGTTTCTCTCTCCCCAAATTCACTTCCACTTATCTGAGACACCCTTACAGTGGACTCAGCAGGAGAGAGCAGGAACACACCATGTTTGGAGAGCCCCTGCTGGTCATCCCAATGACCACAGATGACCAGGGAGCACACACCCTGTCTCTAGCCAGCAGCTGCTCCTCAGTCACTGCTGCTGATGGCCTTGCAGGGAATCGAGAATAAGAGAAGCTGAGATTCAGACTTGTACATCAAATCTAAACATGCCACATTGACAAGTAATTAAGACAAGTGTGAAGCACTGAAACTCTCTGTAGGCTGGATCAGCCCTTGGGCCACTTACTGAACCATTTTGTAGGCGTGAAAACTTTTGAGAATCTGATGAAACTTCGAACAAATGCCAGAAAAACTAGATGCAAGCACAGTTGTGCTCTAAACACTTTAAAGGACCCATAATCTGAGCCCTTCCTGCACCTCCAGAAAAGGAGACTCTCCTCCCATCCAACCTCTCACCCAACAAAATCAGGGTGATTTCCCCCAGCCTCTCAATAACTCCAGAATGGACCTAGGATGGAGCAGAGGTGCTTCTTTCCACAGCTCCCAAGGTTTGTGAGGTGGAGTAAACTAAGACATTTCATGCCTGTCGTGTACTAGACACTTCACATGTTACTGACTTAATCCCTTCTATCATTTCCCCTTGACAAATGGGGAAAAGGAGGCTCACTGGGCAAAGTCACTCACTCAGGGCAGCTGGATAAAGCCATGAGGCTGGTGCTGGTCGGCAAAGCTGACAGCCAAGCCTGCACCCTCCCATCCATCCTTACTACATGAAACTGGGCAGAGCACCCTGTATAGTGGGTCTCTAACAAAATGGAGGTCCTAAAAAATAACTTTCTGGAACAACTATAAACTAGAGTTTGTCTGAAGACTTGGTCTTTGGCTTTCTAAGATGTTGCCAGATCGAGGAGAGACAGACTGGGGGCAATAATGACCTGTGTCAACAAAGAAGCACTTGTACAGGGTCTGGAAGAAGATAAGGAATGCAGTGTAGTTCTGAGCAGGGGGACCCTACAGAGAGCCCAGGACAGGTCTGCAGGCAGGGCCTCTAAATGGGCCTGCTAAGCATGTCTACCTGTCATTGCTCAGTCTCTCCAATCACATATCCAATCCAAGTTATGCTTTATAAACTAGGACAAGGAACTCTGGTCTGCTACAGAACATGACATGCAGAAGAAACCAACCAAGCAAAAACATACAAAACATCTCTCTGGTCTAGAGGAGGGTAACAACATGCTCAAATAGGAGAGAGACCTAAATTTAGATGGCAAAGTGCCCTGCCAATCAACGCAACAATCAAGAACAGGAGGCTGTTCTCCCCATCTCAGTTTCCCCCACCTTTCACTCCAGATTCCTTGCTGGAAGGTTGAAAGTAAATGATGCATTTCAACTACTTTTAAAGCAGCAACTCGAAACAGACTCTTGCATTTGACACAGAGGACATCCTAGTCCTGTCTCCTGGGCTGCACAGGGAGAAACAGTAGCAGAATTTGTGCCATTTCCCTCTGAAATGAGGCAAAGCCCAGACACCTCTGCTTTAGCTGGAAGCAGACCTGCACTTGGAGACAGCACTTTCCCCAGCTTGCACCCCTTCACCCTTCACTGTGCCCAGGAGGTAGAAGAAAGCTAAACCTGGGACCCCAGCACTTGAAGCAGACAAGAGAACTCAGGCCTTACCTGGCAGGGAGACGCTCAAGGCGATCCAACTGGGTTCTGGTCCTGGGCTCAGAGCCACTGCAAGCAGGGTCAGGAGAAGACGCCAGCCCTGGGCAGCCCCCTCCTGGGGGTGGAGGTTTCACCCTGCCTCCCCAAATCTAGCACATTCAGTCCCCAGGCAAGACTTGTAGTAAGTCTTCCCCTAAGCAGGGATTCCAGAGACAGCTAGTTTTCAAAGGGGTAGCCAGAATAAACAGTGTGTGAGAAACTGAAAAACAGGGAAGGGACGGGCACTTCGGCCAGTCCTCTGCTGCCCAGGAACAAAGATGTCCCGAGCCTCCCCAGGAGCGAACTGGCCCAGCGCAGGGATTCCCCGGCTAAGAGCACAGAGCGCGGGGCGGGGCCGGCCGGGCGAGGGGGCGGGGCCACGAGCTTGGTGGGGGCGGGGAGGGGGGGCGGGAAGAGAGGGAGGGGTGAGCACGTGTCTTCGGGAGGCGGGAGGGGGAGGGGCCCGGAGCGAGCCGAGGAAAGAGGAGCCCGCAGGCGCCTAGGCGGTAGCACTGGCTGAGCGCTGGCGGGGAAGGAGGAGAAGGGGTTTCGGGGACCAAGACCGCTTTAGGCTCCAGACGCCAAGGAGGCCCCTGAAGCCCAGGAGAGTGAGGACAACTGTGCTATTATAGACTTCAGCGGATATTTTAGTCCCTTTTACAGCGCAGTCTGAAATAGCCCCCCTGAGTCCACTGGCGACGCAGCTGCGCTCTCCGCTCCTTTGGAAAGTTTGTTTCTGCTGGAGATGGGACCCGTGCGCTGCGCTGTCCTGCTCCTGTGGGAGCCCTCGGTGCAGGACTCTTCCTGTTTAGGGGGCCCTCCCTCCAGCTGGGGATGGGGAGGGCCGCGTGGATTGTGTCCTTATGTTTGGATGAGGACAGTGAAGGCTCAGAGAGACCCTTTTTCACCTGCCAAGGCCCCACAGCAGAGCGAGGAGGGGAGCCTAGGTCTCTTCAGCAATGGAGCAAGGGCAGGTCCTGACCTGGGTGCTCTTCTTTCTCTTTCCCAGCACTGTTCCTAAAAATGGGCCCGGCCAGGTATTTTGAACTAGATGAGAGCATGGCTTAATTCACATGACCTTCCTCTCCCCACCCCCATGGGCCTCCTAAGCTCTGGAGTGTCTTTATTTGGCTGCCTGCTGGGTAGCAACAGTTAACAAATAGACCTAATGGGCTCCAACGTGACCCAGGGACTCTGAACAATCCACCCCTGCCTCCCTGTCTTGCCACCTTTGTGGCAGTTCATCTCAAAGGTGTTCACAGAGCGACCACTGGATGCAGGCACAGAATCAGGTGCTGGATAAGCAGAGCAGGACAGGCCCTGTCCCTGGAATGGCAACAGGAGGAGATCAGTGCCCAGCCTGTCAGAATCACAGGTGGAGAGGGGCAGAGAAGAGAATGGGCACACCTGCCCGAGAAGGGCAAGAGGGTCAGTCCCTTAACAAGGAGTCATGATGTGCCCTGCCCGGGGTGATCTGGGCTCTGCAGGGAGCTCCTGCGTCTGCTAGTCGGGAGGCAGTCAGCAAAAAGTAAAGCAACCTGCCATGTTCAGGTCCTGAGCTCCACTAAATACCGTGAAGGACACAAGCAGATAGTAAAGTCAGAGAATAAATGAGGGGAACAGCAGAGTCAGTACTAAAGACAGCCCTCTACAGAGACACTGCAGAGAACAGGAGAAGCCACCGTACAAAGTAAGGTCCCTGGGTGAGGGGTTGAAAAGAAACTTGGCGTTCACAGGGGACTTGGCCTCTGGGCAGAGGGAAAGCCCCCTTTTGGCCTGGGACTTTGAGGGGAGGGGTGCTAAGGGGGTATTGTGGCCGGATTGGAGAGCAGAACACAGATGAGGCAGTAAGACATATGGGGAGAAGGTAGGCACATCCTGAGGACTTGGGAGTCACTGAAGCTCTTTGGAGAGATAGGACAGGATGGGGAAGGCCAGTGTGGGGCTCGATAAGGCCACTGGCAGCCAGGGGGCCTAGGGTGGGGCAGGAAGGTAAGTTGAGAGCCTACTTAGTCTAGAAGGAGAGAGAGAAAGAAGAGAATCTAGGCTTATAAATAATTGAATCTCCAGGGCTCTGAGTTCCCAAGTACCCACTAAAAGAAATCAATCCCACCCTACCCAGAAGCCCCTACCACAGCTCTTCTGGGACTCCCTGACATCTGAGGCTGGTGCTGCTGTGACACTTTGCTGCAAGGCCCATGGATTCTCGAGGATCTGTGTAGACTGGAATGTCCTTTTTAACACAAGCTACCTTCATCTTATCACTGGCAGAAATCTTGGGAACCAGTCTTGTCCCCAGCCTCTTCCTGTCTCTTTTTCTCCTCTCTTCTCTTTCCTCCTCCAGCTTTTTCTTCCCCCTCCCCCCCCCGCCCACATTCTGATATTTCTCCCTTCCCATAGGCCTAAAAGCAATAGAGCCAGCCAACCATGGACTGAAACCTCTGAAACCATGAGCTAAAATAATTTTCTCTTTTAATCTTGTCTCAGGTATATTGTCACAGGCCAACAAACCAACTAATACAATGAGCTCCTGCACCATGACTTTCCTGTGGCCCAGTCCTGCTCTGCTTACTGCAGGTGCAGGCCCTCAGCTGCTGACAGCAGCTGGCAGACAGGGCTCAAGGCTTCTCCACCCACACTCCACTCCAGGCAATGTCTTAATATCCTGCCTTCTTTCCCTTTTTTTTTGAATTTTATTTTTATTTTATTTAATCCATACTAATTGTTCATATTTGTGGGTTACATGATGTTTTCATACCTGCATATTTTATGCTGCCACTTCCATGAAACTGGATAAATGCCTCCAAAATCAGCTGCTATCACATTCCAAGACCAAGTTTTTTCATGAGGACAGATCCATGACTTTGACAACACCATGCTCTGCCATAAGGAAGAGGAGCCCTCAGAGACATCCACACTGTTCTCCCCCTGTGTGATGAGAGGCCTTGAGGCTGGAGGCAGTGATCCGTGTTCTGGAAAGACAATTCTGGAGAGCTCTCCTTCTCACTTCCTTCCTCCCCTTTTGCACTGGTTCTCTGCCAAGATGACAAAAGTGTTTAAACATCCAAGATGTATTAAACAGGAATAGAAAATCCACATATAGATCATTACTTACACAAAGATGCATCTATGTATTTAACAGACAGTGTGAAAATGTCTCCCATGGCTTAATTTATTTCTCATTTCTATGACTCATCCCATCACTGTGATGCTTAATGCCAAATGCTGCCAACCACAATTTGTATTTCTCTCTGAAATATTTCATATTTCCTATTTGAAGAGAAACTTGTCTTTACCTGTCTATCGTGGCTCACCTTGCTCAGGGTTTCCAAGGGGAGGGGGAATCTGCTGCCAGACTTCTTCCAGCTGTTGGCAGCCCTCACTTAGTCCCTTGCCATTGTAGGTCCAAGTCCCTATCTTCATGCTGTCTGTCAGCCAGAGGAGGCTCTCAGCCTAGGGATGCCAGCAGCTCACCAGACAGCCCTTGGCTCTCTTGTCCTCCAGGTTAAAGAAGGGCTGCTTTCCTTGTCTTCTACCTGCTTCTGCCACTTCCCAGAGATGGTTTTCAGTTATTAAGGGTTCAGGTGATTAGGTCAGACCCACCCAGATAATTATCTCCCTGTGTCAAAGTCCCTTGTGCCTTGTAACATGGCACAGCCAGGAGAAGAAACATTCCGACATTCTGGGGACTCTGGCAGGATGGTCCCTAAAGGTGGACATACTGCCTGCTGATCTCTTTTTAACAGAAATTTGTGACTTTTTCTTCCTCTTTCAGGAAAAACAAGTGTTTCCTACATTGCTGTTTGACTTTAATTTTTATCAGAGCAGTAAATATATCACACCTAGGATAGCGTTAGAACAGAAGAAGTTTTAACAATTTGTGAAATGTATGAATATGCAAGGCAAAGAATAAATGATGAGGAGAAAGCCCCCCTCTAAATGATTCACAGGAGGCCAGCCTGGGCTTTCAATCAGATAAGACACTGGTATCTTAAAACACACACGAGCAAGAGGTTATGGAATATGAAAGCCACAGAACAGTGATGACCAAAGGACCTGGTAAGGAGGGACCACCCTCCAGGAAGAATAGGGGATTTCAAATACCAGACACTGTGGAGCCTCTTGCCTTAGAGGACTGATGGGGCCCTGAGGACCAGGGAGGTGCTCTTCCTTAGAGACTTTGTTCTTGCTTGAGTTAACTCAAGGGCGTTGGGCAATTTTTTCAACTACTCTGAGACCTGGTTTTGTCAGCTTCAGGGGCTGACTGCAGCCTCCCCCCTCAAGAATGTGGTGTGGAAGAGCAATGATGGGCCCAGACCTGGTGAGGCCAGCTAGAAGCAGGAAAGTTTGGGGCTCATGTATGTTACCTGGGGATGGACCAGACCACCCTCACCTGGCTGGGAATTGCCCATGCGTGTCCCTGCTCATTCACTATTGGGTGGGGACCGCCTGGGCCTGCCCTCTCATGGGGGTAGTATAGGTTTTAAAGGCACCTGAAAAAGAAAAGCTCTCTCTCTCTCTGTCAGCCAACTCTACCTGTGCCCACCGTGCCCTCTTCTTCTTCTTCTTCCCTTTCCTCACCTGGCAGAATGGGTGACTCCCCTTTTCTCAATAAAGCTATCCTACCTCACCCCATCCATGTGCTTTGCTTAGATTTTTCCATTTGGAGCACAATCCAGGATCTTCTGATCACAGACTGCACCAGTGCTGTTAACACTGGCCCAGAACAGGGGCTCATCAAATGTGGCCACACTGGTCTACCAAGTGCAAGAGGCAGCCAAATGGATAGTTCTTCCTCTTATGCATGGATTATTGTAATCCACATGGAGAAATAAGATATAAAACATAATGAAACATATAGACATATAAGAGTGTACACAGTTACAAGGCTTCATATGCTGCTTGTTGGCTCCTAAGACTTGTTGTTTTGTTTTTTCAAATAACAGCAAAAAAAAAAAAAAAAAGGTGAAAGTTAGCTCAGGTGGTGGAGAAAACTTCCTA